ATACTCAATACAGCCTATGCAACCCCAGGATAAGCGCAGGGAAAAGAAACCTCTCTCACAAGGAAAAGAAGAGGAAGAAATGTCGAGAAAAAGGAATTTTAATGGTATAAATATAGAAATCATTCACAATGCGCATACACACACACACACACACACCTAGAAATCCTAATGTCGATATGGAAAGAGAAATTTGTATGGGGATAAGGGGATAAAATTATACTCTCGAAAAAAGCCTGTACAAAAAAAAAAAAAAAAAAGAACGCCGGTCTAAGTGGAGGGGAAACATACCCGTCCAATGGAGCATAGATATTACAGAAATTTTGAAAAAGTGAATTTTGACATTAATACAAAAATCAAACACACACCAGGAAGTGCTGACACTGAGAATGGGAAGGGGAAATTTCCATTGCAAAAAGTTATACGCTCAAAAAAGCCCATGCAACGCCTGGCCATGCAGCTAGAACTCTGTTAAAATTTAGCAAATTTCTAATTTTAATCAGCAAAAAATTTAAATAAGGTACAATTTTATTAATTTAAATTGCATTTTTAATTTATTTCTATCGAAATTAAATACACTGGTAAAAATCCTTCTTTATAAATAGGTTTGAATTTCTATATTTCAAAATTTACTTAATTCGCTCTACCGCGACAATATTTTCTTACAAATAAACAAGAATACAGGAGTAGCTAGGATTTTCAGCAATCGGGGAAGCCCTTCGTAACAAAGTGCATACCATTAGAGGGTACGTCATGCTTTTCCAGAAATTTTTGATTTTTAAAACAGGAAGACCTGAATTTTGTCGCAAGTACGTAGATATCGAAAAAATTCAAAAAGTAAAATTATCAAGGCAACGATGTGTGATACTTTAAATATAATATGAAGAAACTCAGAAGGGCAAAATCAAGAATGCATATAAAAATTAATACAGTTATTCTTTCAAAAATTACAGAATTAAAAATAATGAATTAATGTCAATTTGGCGCCAATAAGGTGTTGTTTCTAGGGGCAGATGCCCCCCTCCCTTCCCTTGTTACAAGGATATGAGCAATTACAGTAAAGATCAAACATATAAAATTTTTAAGGGAAAACCACTGCCTTAGAATTTGATTATCTTTTCTTTCATGTTTAGGGAGGGGCATGGAATTTTGATATTCTAGGGGAAAAAATATTTTATATTCGCTTCATTTCGGTAATTGTTATTAAAATTTCATTTCAAACTTTTTTTTATATCGTTAAATTTGCGAAAAGGCCAAGCATGTTTCATACTTAGCTTTTCCATCGCACCATGGCCGGCGTGTCATGAGTTCGAGCCCAAGTGTCACTAAAGACTGTTTAGTGACGTGTCAAGACGTCACGTTTAATTCTATCGAGGCTCAAAGTCCTCTTATTGGCGGGATGGGGGAGTTCAAAGGGAAGGGGGGGGGTGTTATCCCCATACAAATAACTAATTAATAATGAACACGTGAAATTTATTAGCTGAGTCTGAAAAAGGACACTTAATAATGTCTATTTTAGCAGAAGAGTTCGAAATATGAACATTCTATTTACAAACAAAAATAGAATAACTTGTTAGCAGAACTTCTTTCAACCATTTTGTCATTTTATAGTTAAAAGTATTGTTTTATTTAATATTCTCTTTAAAAAATTAACCACATTAATTTTCTACAGACGACTAATTTTTTCAAAAACGTCTGTATTGGATTTAGTCTAAAAGAACTTCAACTTTGACTTTTTCAACAGATTTTTCTTTAATGTAATAGATCCTAAAGTAAGGGGATAATAGCTTTTCTTGCTCCATATCCCACAAAATCATAACTGTATATGTCCTAAAGTATAATTTTAATTAATTGGTATAAAGGTTTATTTTCACAAGAATTGTTAACACAAGACTTATCTGTTGATCGAGGACACAAATATGTAGAATCGATTAATTTGTTTCTTTTTTAAATTTTTTTCTAGAATTAATTATTATTACAAATAAAATCAATTTCTAAATCAAAAACTCTGTATTTTTAGAGAGAGGTGACAGGCCTACGCCCCGATCCTAAATAAGTATTTGAATGCTGTTGATTCACACTGTTTGATTAGTTGTTTACTTGCTTGATATCATTATTTTATTTGTGATTCGAAAGATTCCAGACGCGCAAAGTAAGGCTATTTAAAAATAACGCTCCAAGGAATAATTCCAGAACAACAAATAGCGACAACGTTAGAACAGTGCACGATCGAAATTAGGCCAAACCTGTTCTCAAACCAACAAATGAAAACTAACACCTTTCACGTAGTATTATGTTTTAGTAATTTGAAATTCGATGTGTGTGTGTGTGGTAGGTGTAGATGTTAGGTATCATTTCAGTGAAACCAAGGGATTTTTTTTCTATCATTAAATTAAAAATCTTATTAATTCTGATGTGTAAAAACTGATTGTAATTCGATTTAATTTGAAAAATTTTAATTCTTTTATTTTTGGAAAGATTATCAGGTCGAAAAAAAACCCGTCACAGTTACGAACTAAAAGAAAATCTTAGGTCAATACATGCACACTCCATTTTATTTTATTTTACTTGTAAGTCACGGTTTAATATTGTCCTTAAAGGTCACATAAAAAGGATAGAATCAAATAAAAATATAAAGAAAATATCGCGTGTCACATAAAAAATGAATAAAACATAAAAACAAAAATCCATCGGAATAATAAATTTTTTTTAAAAAAAATATTTTAAAACTTTTCTATTTCCTATATGCGTCTGAGGCATTAAAATCAACTTATAAAAAGCTTACTTTCTGACATTTGTTGATCAAAATATGCATCGAACAAAAATGCAATTTTACCATGTCTATCATTTCAACACAAGTTTCTTTTTTAATGCTGCCATCTTTTCTTAAGTCATTTCAGATACTGTCTGAGCTGAACACCTGTCTAGCGACTACACAATATAAATGGCTTCATGAAATAAAAATTACTTCCAACTTCACGAAAGCACCTGGAGTACATGAAAACATATCGTGAGTCACAGCAGGGAAATCTTCTATGAACCAACTTTAAGAGCAGCAGAAACAATATCAATTTCGTACACTTTTTTTCTTTTGTTTTGCTTTTATAAATCGCATGGGCATTCTTATACCATTTACTAGAACTTCTGTGATATTCAGAATAAAATGTTTTTTTCTGCAGGAAAACCAGGTGCTTACATTAAAATGCATTCGTGATTTATTTCTTCATTTAGAAAAAAGACAAGAAAAATAAAGTACTTGAATATTATATGTATATATTTACTAAACTACACACACACATTATATATATATATATATATGTGTGTGTGTGTGTTTCGAATGTTATTGTTTGGATGTTATCTCTTGTTTGTAGAGAATTAGCCTATCTATCTATCTATATATATATATATATATATATATATATATATATATATATATATATAATGCAGCTAAGTAAAAATATGAATCAATACTTCCCTTTGAGTAATTCCTTCTATATTAACCAATGATTATCTAAA